AATCAGTACGAGTGCACCCAATCCTGTTGTAAATGAAGTATCCTCTTCTGCTTACTCCTCTGTGTTATGGCATAATAGGCTGGGACATGTAAATTATAGAAAATTGTCCAGTATGGAGAAGTTAGGATTACTTCCAAAATGTGGGGGTAACAAACCTGAGAAGTGTGAAGTTTGCGCGTAAGCAAAGCTGACAAGGAAGCCATTTTCAAGTGTTATGAGGAGCACCAACCTGTTGGATCTGATTCATTCGGATACTTGTGACTTCAAAAGCTTCGTCACTCGTGGCGGCAAGAAGTACTTCATCACCTTCATCGACGACCATTCTCGCTTCTGCCACGTTTACCTGCTGAAATCTAAAGATGAAGCATTCAGCAAATTTGTCGAGTTTCGGACTCGAGTGGAGAAGCAGCTTGGACTGCAGGTGAAAAGACTCAGGAGCGACAGAGGAGGAGAATACTGATCCAAGGAATCGGAAGCATACTTCAAGGAGCATGGAATCATTGCAGAAACTACTGCTCCGTATTCTCCGCAATCTAACAGGATTGCAGAAAGGAAGAATCGCACATTGACCGAGATGGTGAATTCGATGTTGATCACATCTGGTCTACCTAACTGCTATTGGGGAGAGGCTTTGTTGATGGCTAACTGGATTTTGAACAGAGTACCCTACTCCAAAACTGATAATACTCCTCATCAGTTATGGTTGGGATATCCAGATTCTTTGGATAATCTCAAAGTGTGGGGGTGTCTCGCATATGTTCGAATACCAGATATCAGAAGGCCTAAGCTCAGACCAAAGGCAAACAAATGTGTATTTCTTGGCTTTGCTGGAGATAGCAATGCGTGCAGGTTCCTGGACCTTGGAACCAACTCCATCATTGAAGCTCGGGATGCAGAATTCTTTGAGGATAAGTTTATCAAACATAAAGGCTTATTGCTCAAAGATGTAGCAGAGAATGCTAGTACATCAGATGCACAAGAGGAGCCAGTCAATAATGAAGGAGTTGTCGAACCATCTTCCAAGCGCGTCAGAAGACAGAAAGATTTTGGAGATGACTTCATCACCTATAATGTGGAAGGAGATCCACAGACTTTTCAAGAAGCAATGCAGTCAACAGACGTTCTTCTGTGGAAAGAAGCTATAGATGATGAGATGGATTCATTGATCCAAAATCACACTTGGGAGCTGGTGGATGTACCTGAAGGTGCAAGGCCTATCAGTTGCAAGTGGATCTTCAAGAAGAAGCTCCGTCCTGATGGTACTATTGAAAAGTACAAAGCAAGACTGGTGGCTAAAGGATTCTCTCAGAAAGAAGGTATAGACTTCTTTGATATTTATGCACCAGTTTGCAGGATCACTACCATCAGAGTGCTTATCGCATGGGCAGCGATTAAAAGGTTCGTCATACATCAGATGGATGTGAAGACTGCCTTTCTCAATGGTGATCTCACAGAAGAGATCTACATGGAGAAACCAGAAGGACTTGATGCTCCAGCTGGTAAGGTTTGTAAACTTATTAAGTCATTATATGGACTTAAGCAGGCACCAAAACTCTGGCATGAGAAGTTCGATGGGGTTGTTCGCAACAATGGGTATCAAGTCAGTGAATCTGACAAGTGCCTATACATCAAGGTCGATGAAAGAAAGGTGGTGGTTATTTGCCTTTATGTGGATGATATGCTCATCATCGGGAGTAATTTGGAGATAGTAACATCTACCAAGAAATTTCTCTCGGCACAGTTCAGCATGAAGGACCTTGGAACTGCGGACGTGATTCTCGGAATCAAAATCATATACTCTGAAGAGGGTATAGGATTGTCTCAATCTCATTATGTCGAAAGTATGCTAAGGAAGTATGGCTACTACGACCTGCCAGAACTGTCAGTGCCGTATGATTACAACAAGAAGCTTCGACCAAACACTGGAAAACCAGTAGATCAGCTAAAGACCAGTAGAGCAGCTGAGGTACTCAAAGATCATTGGGAGTCTCATGTACGCGATGAGTTGCACAAGGCCAGATATAGCATTCGCTATAGGAATGCTTAGTAGGTTCACAAGTAATCCTGGAAAGCTTCATTGGGATGCCATCCAGAGATTGATGAGATACTTGAAAGGAACTACAGGTCTGGGCTTATTCTACACTGGATATCCGGGTGTAATCGAAGGCTATTCAGATGCGAGCTGGTGCTCAGAATTCGTCTTCACCATGGGTGGAGCTGCCGTCTCGTGGAAGTCTAAGAAGCAGACCATGATTGCACAGTCATCGATGGAATCTGAATTCTTCGCACTCTGTGTTGCAGGAGATGAAGCTGAGTGGCTCAGTTGTATTCTCCGAGACCTTCCATTGACAGGATTGCAATGCGCAATTACTATCTATTGTGATAATCAGGCGGCGAGTGCTGTGGCAGCAAACTCGTTATTCAATGGAAAGAAGCGGACCATTCGTCTGAAGCATGGCTATTTGAGAGAGCTCATTTGTCAAGGAGTCATCTCTGTGATTGACGTTCGATCTTCAGCGAATGTGGCTAATCCTTTGACTAAGGGTCTAAAAAAGGACATAGTTGAAAGGACGTCTGCTGGAATGGGTCTCAAAGTTTTGTAAGTCTTACAAATACTTACCATGTTTATTAAGTTATTAGTTCAAAGCTTATGCTACTAATAATAAAATAATTGGTTCAAAAGTCAAGTAAGATTTGTAAAGTTTGGTGAGTCTTATAAATACTTACCATTTACATCTAGTTATTAGTTCAAAGCTTATGCTACTAATGACAAGATAAATGGTTCAAAAGTCAAGTAAGATTTACAAGTGAAAGGGTTCAAGTTTTCTTGGATTAGTCGGTGTCTAAGGTAAGGTTTAGGGGTTGCGTAACGCGCTCTGCAAGGAACGAGGTACTTAATTGATCTTTGATCAACCTCTAATACTATCCTTACCTGGCTGAACTACCCGAGTAAAACTTTGATCTTTTCACCTAAAATCCTATCATGTAAAGGGGATGGCTGTTAAGCCTTAATGAGTCCAAAGCATTTCGGATATGGGGTGTTAGATAGGAAACACACCTAAAGGACTCACCTAGAATCCTATCATGAGAGAGGAAATGGTAAAGGCAAGTGTGGTTCAAAGTGAAAACTACCACAGATAAGTTTGATTTTGTGTGATCGCTGGATTTTTAGACATGTGCTGGTTCAAGTCTCTGCGACACCATGCACCTATCTTTTATTCAGTTGGTCTAATGAAGATTCAAGTCCTTGCGACATCTTCCTTACGCACAATAATTGAAACAACGACACTATTACATGACACTAGTTTTAAAAAAAAACTTGTGGGGGATTGTTAGATAATTTTTTTTAATACTAGTGGGTCCCACAAACCTTTTAGCCTAACTTCTTTTGAAATATGAGAGGACGGTGCAGACATCTTTGAAATTAATGAACAGTAAAATAAACGTGATTAACTTTTTTGCAAGGATTCAACATCTGCCTAATTTATTTTGAAAAACAAGTAATGTGGGCCCTACATGAATAGTAACTAATAATATTTTATTAGTGCATAGTATTTTTCCAAACGCTATAAATAGACCTCAAATGCTTAAGGAAAATTCATTCCAAAAACAACAATCAATATATACAGATATATATTGTAGAATAGCTAGTGCTAGTAGGAACAGTGCCTAGACCGAGAAGGTCTTACAATCGAGGAGATCTTTGCCTGAGGAGATCGAGGAGATCTTTTGCCTGATAGATCGAGGAGATCTTTGCCTTACAGATCGAGGAGATCTTGACAGTACTGGGTTGGTGCACACCAGAGTACTGGACTGCTGTTCCTGGAAGCAATTTGGCCTTGGGATCCTTGCACCGGAGTAGGCCAAATAATGCTTTAAGCACAGCGTTTTACAAACGCACAGCAGCTGAGTTGAAAATTTTAATTTACTGTACTTCAGCTTTCTTTCAGTTATTAGCTGCTATATATCTGTATTATTCCAGTTTTAACCACAGGCGCCAACAAGTATAACTGTTGAAATTCTATCGAATGATCCAAATCCAAGAGACATTAAGGAGTAACTGAAATAATCTGATATGACAACTTCCTCTGGATTCATTTTACCAGTTGAATCCAAATGTCTTCTCCTTATTAGGGACACCGAGTTATGCTGGAATGATAATGAAATCAATAAAAGTACACAACCTAGTTCGCTTTTAGCTATCGTTCATTTTGAGATTCAAGTTCAGTTCTGAAATCTGGTTGTGTTTTTCTTACAATCTTATAACCATCAGCTATAAAAACTTGTTCAAAACCGTAGAAGGACCTATTACTGAACCTGTTGATGTGTGAAGATAAAAGAATTAGAAAGCAGGGGTCTACAGCCAGCTATTTTGACATATTCAAACTCTTGTTTCGTTGTCTGATCTCTTCATTGTGACATTTGGATACTTCTCCCCATTGTTCTCGTCAAACATTTGTGTTTACTGACAGATGTCCTCCTTTAATTTACATCACCTTGGATTATTTGTTGTAAAATGGGGACAAAGTTTATTGTTTTCATTTTTTTTCTTTTGATCATGTAACAGATATCAATGAATTTTATTGACGGTAGTCATAGAATTTAATCCATCCTCTATCATATGCTCTACTGATCAGGGACCTTATCTATTGTTGACGCTAGTGTGGCATTTTATTGTTATCACATTTCTACTTGATCGATTCTTTAGTATAACTATAACAAGACTTTCTTCTTGTTGTACGCTAGTTTTTAGGGCATAATACAAAAAAAAATTTTGAGCAACCTTCTGAATATTTAATCATAAATAGATTCTCTAATTTGCTATCTATTAAACAACCAGAAAACGTGGTACTGTAAAAATTTTCAGAAATATTTTACCTAACAAATTTTAATCATCACTTCTCAACTTGATAATAGAGAAATACATTTTTAATCATAGTTATTTATCATTTTATAGTTTGCTGCGGTGTCTTAACAAAATATAAGAATAAGTATAATTTATGAAAGATGCGTAGAATTATATAAGAAAAGAATTTACACTGTCCATAATATTGAAGAAGATCCAAATTTTTTGGCCGGCTATACCGTTCACTTTCAAACTTGACCCTTTTAACACAACCTGGAAAGCTCTTACATTCACATAGGAAAACAAACGGAATTAACAGAAAAAACTCCGCCAGACCTTCTTCAATTCCCTCTCCCTTCACCCCCAATGAATTCAGCTGCTGCCTCTTATGATGAAGAGGCCATCCTGTTGAAGCTCCAAAATGCCCAATCCAACCTTCTCGCTGTTCTTGCTGAATCCTCGGAGCTGAACAGAAACCTGGCTGCTGGTGATAAGCGCCTTTCCTTTGGCCTTGAGACTGTCGCTGCTGCATCTGATGCTGTTGCGCCTCTACAGACCCAGCATATTGCCGCGAAAGCACTTCGCTCGCGCATCAACCGTGCAGTCTCACCTGCTCTCTTGGTTCTTGACAATTTTGCACTTGTTGAGTCCCTCCAGCGTCGTCTCCTCTCACTCTCTGATGATACAAGCACCAGGTATGTCTATAAATCTGGAAAACTATATGATAGTTACTGTTTACTGGATAATTGTGCATCAAAAGAAAAAAGAAGCATCGAACTAATGCACTAAGATCCAAACCTTCTACTTTGCACTGACACATCATTCAATTTTCAAATTGGATCAGTTCAATATCTTCTCATGCCACAAATTTATTCAGTGCATATCGGACAGATATAATCAGAGAAGTCGATATGCCATCAATTAATTTAACCATTGTTTGTAAACTCTTTTCAAGGATAGACGATTCTTGATGCACCATTCATCCTATTAACACAAAAAACTGCGCAATTTCTGCTATAAATTTTAGTCTATGGTACTGAGAGACATTATTAAATATGATACTGGTATATTTTTATCAGAAAACTGTGTAAAAGGTAATGGTCAAGGCATAGTTAAATATAAGGATGGATAGTTCTTGATGTATCAATTATAATTTAGACAGGTGTGCTATAATTTCTCCAGCACTTATGTATCACTCATAATATCCTTGAGTCTTGACAACAGGCCTCACTTATCTCGGCTTCTAAAATACGTAGACTGCGTTAACCGCCTAAATACAGCGATTGGGGCTGTGACCGTTGGGTGCGAACCAGCAGTTCTAAGGCTCCAGGAGGCAGTCGAGTTCTTGAGCCGGACGAAGTCAACGGATCAACTAAGGATTCATCGGTTGAGGGAAACGTTAGCGGCGATCAAGGCTCTGTATGAGTCGGAAGTGGATGCGATGAGGTACGAGGGTGTGTTCGACGAGGCACTGGTCAGGTTGCAGGATGAGTACGAGGCCATACTGCAGCAAATCAAGCATGAAGGGATCAGAGAAGCAGCTGAAGGAGGTGAAGAGGGGGATGTTGATGCAGAGGTTGATCGTGAAGCAGAGAAGAAGCAATTGGGTTCGGAACTTGAAGTTGAAGTACTTGGTCGGATATCGGAGACGCTGGCTTCTAATGATTGTTTGGATATCTGCATTGATATCTATGTCAAGGTACATGGATTCAATTGAAGTAGTAGTACTTCCTTGTTGAATATAATTTAATCAGTACATTAAAAAATGATCTATTTATCTCAAAGGGTTGAGACAGAAATGGTCTATGCATAAAGTATTAAGGGATTGTAAAAGATTTTATTAACTCAGAATTGGATTTTGCAATGGTCTATGCAGAAAGGATGAAGGAATTGTATAAGGTTTTATTATCTAAGAATTATTAGATTTAAGGGGCATGGTACAGTTTAAGAATATGCCTTTTACAAGCAGTAGACTAACGCTCAATTACTCTGTATTCAATTTAGTCTATTTGAAGACCTGGGAAAAGATTGTATTCATGGTATAAATATCGCTTTAGTGTATAAATATCACTTTAGAGCAGAAGAGTATAAATCTTTTCTTAGAAAAATGCTAGACTATAAGACTGTAACCATTAAGTTCTTATCACAAGTTTGAAGTTTTGGTGTATGAAAGAGGATTAAGATGATATCAGATTAATCCTGATTGAAATCTGACTGAACCATGCATTTAAAGAAGATTAAAAAAATTACTCCTGCATGAATAGCAGTTTACACTTCAGTCTCGTGTGAAGGTACAATATCACAAATTTCTATCAATCATACTCTTATGCTCTAGAATTTTATTTGGCTTACAACAGAAATTAATTTTTATTTTAATTTTGTAGGGAACTAGTTTCTTTTGTTCTTGTTTCATATTGTTTACGCACTTCCACAATATATCCTGAACCATCAGAAACTAATCTAAGCAGGTAAGATACCGAAGGGCAGCAAAGGCTCTGATGAGGCTAAACCCAAGATACCTCAAAACTTACGCACCAGAAGAAATAGACAAAATAGAATGGGAAGTCTTAGAATCAGCAATCACTCTCTGGATCCAACACTTCCAACTTGCGGTAAACTCCGTTTTCCTTGCCGAAAAACACCTCTGCAAGCGAGTCCTCTCCGGCATCATGGACGGCACGATCTGGCCTGCATGCTTCGCAAAAATCGCTGATAAAATCATGGCTGTCTTCTTCCGTTTTGGCGAAGGCGTCGCTCGCAGCTCCAAAGAGCCCCAAAAGCTCTTCAAACTCCTTGACATGTATGATTCCATGGATAAAATTCGCAGCGAGTTTTTTCAAGTTTTTGATGGTGAGTCCGGAGTTGATATATGTGCTCGTTTTCGCGAGCTTCAAAAGTTATTGGTTCATGCTGCATCTAAAGTGTTCTGGGAGTTTGGTCTCCAGATTGAGGGACTTGAAGATGGTTCTCCTCCGCCTTCTGATGGATCTGTACCAAAAATTGTCAGATATGCTGTGAACTACTTGAAATGTCTCGCTGGTTGCGGATACGCTTCAGTAATGGGCCAAGCACTGCGAATAGAGAAAACATGGAAAGCAGGATATCTATCGAAGGCGGAGCCCGATGAGAATCTACTAAGAGAGGCGATATCGAATGCTCTCGATGCACTGCAGAGAAATGTAGAGGCAAAAAGGAGCAAATACAAAGATAAAACAACATCTCATGTATTGGCAATGAACACATATTGGTATATGTATATGAGAACCAGAGGCTCAGAGCTGGCCAAATTGGTAGGAGAGGATATAATGAAAAAAAAATACAAGGCTGCGGCCGAGGAGGCAGCTTATTCTTACCAAGCGCAGGCATGGGGCCCTCTGGTGAAGTGGCTCCAGAGAGAGGAGGAGTCGCCGAGAGAGCGGATGGAGGTGTTTACGAGAGAGTTTGAGGAAATTTTAAGGAGGCATCAGAAATGTTATTGCGTTCAGGACGACGATTTGAGACATCAGATTGGAGGGGCAGTGGTCAAGATTGTTGTGCCGGCGTATGAAGAGTTTTTGAGTCTGCATTCGAGGGTTTGTCAGGGGAGATCGTCGGTTTTAGCTCCGGACTCGATGAGGGAGATTTTGAGTAGGATTTTTGGTGGAGAGACTGTTGAGGTGGTGAAGTTTAAGAGGAGAGAGTTTAGAAAGGGGGAAGATGAGGAGAAGGTTGATGAAGGAGGTAGCTTCGGGAGAAGGAAGGAGAAGGAAAGAGGAGGAGAGAGATTTAGGAGGAAGGAAAGAGGAAGCTTTGGGAGGAAGGGGGAGCAAGGCGAAGAGCGAGAAAACTCCGAGAGGAACGATGAGAGGAAGGAGGAGGAGAAGGAAGAAAGGGCAATTGTGCATGGAAGAAGAGAGATTAAGAATGTAGAGGAGGAGGAGGAGGAGAGGGTTGGAGGAGATGAAGGAAGAAGGACAATGGTGGAAGGAGAGAAGAGAATATTTAGGAGGAGAAGAGAGATCAAGCATGAAGTAGAGAATAGGGAGGGAAAAGGAGAGGAAATTAAGAGGGAGGTGGAAGAAGCAAAGACAAATTTTAGGAGGAGAAGGTTCAAAAATGGAATGGAGGGAGGAAGTGGGCCTTTAGAGATGAACAAGTTTGAAGCAGAACATGTTTAACGGAAATTATCATATTTTTATTGTGCAAATGATTCGTGGGATGATACTGCATAGTAAGAGCCATATGAATACTTGAGAAGATATATGTTCTTATTTTAGGTCTAGAGCACCGTTTAGAGGGATCAAAAGAGATGAAAGCTACATGTATAACTTTGAAATGTGTTTGTAACTTGTATAGTCATAAAGTGTTGTTTTCTTTATATAAGAAAGGCATGCCCAACACCGTTGTCAGGAATCATATTAAACAAAGGGGACAATTTGCAAAATAGTCCGTTTTTGCTAATTATTTAGCAAAATAGACTATTTTGCTAAATAATTAGCGAAATAGACATCTTTTTGGTCAACAGGCCAAAAAGAGGTCTATTTTGCAAAACAGCTCAGAAACATACGGGACTAGTAGTCCCGTATGTTTTAATCACGGATTAGTGAACTCAGAAAATTTCACAAAACATTGAGATGAACTCAGAAAACATACGAGACTACTAGTCCCATATGTTTTCTAAGTCACTAATCCGTGATTAAGTTGGCTCTAAACATACGGGACTAGTAGTCCCGTATGTTTTCTGAGTCTTGTTTTTTAAAATCGACCTTTTTTTTCAAAAAATATCTATTTTGCTAATTATTTAGCAAAACGGTCTATTTTGCTAAATAATTAGCAAAAACGGACTATTTTGCAAATTTTCCCTAAACAAAGCTCTTAAGGATGTCCATATCATGAAAATGAAAGTCAGGTACATCATTATATACGAGAGAATCTCTTCATGTATCATATAATAGTCATTATTTTCTATATGAGTGGGCTTCATTCATCATATGATGGTCATTATTCTCTGTATATGTGGCTTCATCTATCATATGATTCATGAGATGATCTTGCATAATAAGAGGCATATGAATAGTTGGAGAGATGTATGTTCTTTTTTTTTTATGTCTAAAGCACTTTTTAGAGGGATCAAAAGAGATGCAAGCTACATGTATAACTTTGAAATGTGTTTGTAACTTGCATAGTCACAAAGTGTTGTTTTCTTTATATATATGTGTGTGTGTGAATAACATATGAAATATGGTGGATATTTACTTCATTTTTGCATTAGTCTGGAGGATTGTTTTAAGTATGGGTTATTTATTTTATATTCTTCCATTAGTTTTTTTCCCCCATAAATATGTTGTGTTCTTTTCTCTTATGTAAGTGCGATCATGCTTGCACATGTGCCCATATATACAAAGAATAATGATTATCATATGATAGATGAAGCCCACACATATCGAAAATAATGACTATTATATGATATATGAAGAGTTTCTCTCGTATAGAATGATATTGTAGAAGAACTCACCTCCGGCCGACAGCGACCTCTTCGGCGAAGGTGGTGATGAGGCGAGGCGAGACGACAGAGATGTGGCGAGGCGATCTCGCCTGCAGACAAAGGCGGAGGCGAGGTGCGGAGCAAGGCTTGGTCGCCAGGCGAGGAGAGCTCACCTAATGGCGAGGTGTGAGTCGAGAATCGAGCTCGCCTGACGCGGGTGGATTGTCGCCTGTTCGAGCTCGCCTGTTGGGAGCTTAGGGCTCGCCTGCGAGTGGAGGCCAGCTGGTGC